GTGGATGTGTGGATGGACAGGTGAAAGGATGGATGGATGAAAGAATGACAGATGACTGGAAGGATGGGTAGGTAAAGAGATGGAAAGATCAACCTGTACATATGGATGGATGGCTGGAAAGATGAAAGAATGGCTGAATGGATCCAATAGAGGAAAGCAGACGCTGGAACATAATGGAAGCATCCGGGAAAACTACCCAAATAGCACCATGCAAAGCCCCAAAGGGGAGAGATATTAAGAGGGGTAAAGGGGGCCTTGGATTATAGAGGGTGGATGAAGTGCCCAGGCCAGGAAAGGTGTCCAAGGTTGAACTGAGACAGGGGGAGGACTGGAGGGTACAACTTTTACCCTTCACAAGGGCCTTCAAAACTATGGTCTCGAATTCCTCAGACCCATCCTCAGAAGAATAGACTGTCAGGAGCTCCTTCCGGGTCATAATCCTCTCCACCTGTGGAACAGCCAGTTCTGGATCCCTAGCCCAGCTCCATCCCCAGCTCCTGCTGGGCCCTGTCCAAAGGGATAGAGGAGGCCACTCCCCGCCAGGACCTAATAGTCCAGGTGCCCAGAACCCTCTACCCCTGGAACCTGGAAGTCCAGGCCCCCAGCCCCTCCTCCCTCAGACCCAGGAGCCCAAGTCCCCAGTTCCCTCCCATCTCAGGATCCAGAGTTGGGCCCCCAGTGTCATACCTGGGCCTGCAGGACCTCAGGGTCCCCTTTGGGAAAGAAACGCCTGATTCGATCCCGGGCTTCGCCTTGCCTGGCTCCCCCACTCCCTGGGGCCAGAGTGTCTTCCAGGGTCTCCGCCAGGCAGTCCGCAGCTCCCCCAGAGCCGGCCACGAGGAGACAGGGGAGCTGAGCCTGGGTGGCGTTCTCTATTTGCTACAGGATAAAGGGGAGAGTCACATCAGAGAAGGCAGGATATTCACCCTACCCGGAGTCAGACCCCCAGACCCTCCCTAAGACTCAGGACCCAGGAGTCCTAGCCCCCAACTCCCCTTCCCCCTTAGATCCAGGCGTCCAGGCCCCCGTACCGTCAACATCTTCTCATCACCGTCGATCAGGAGGAGCAGGACAGGGATGTCAATTCCAGTCCCTGAGGCAAGAAGAGAAGGGGGCTTGATTACCTCCCATCAGCCTTTGCTAGAGATAGGAGAAAACCACATATCCCAGGAGTCCCTGGGGCAAATATCAGCCTTGTCCTAATCTTCTGTTCAGAGGCTCATTGGAATTGTCATTTTTTTAATTAATTATGTATTTATTTTAGAAATGAGGGTCTTGCTGTGTTGGCCAGGGTGGTCTCGAACTCCTGGCCTCAAGCAATCCTCCCAACTTAGCCTCCCAAAGCGCTGGGATTACAGGCATGAGCCACCGCACCAGCCTAACTTTTGAAACAGGGTGTCACTCTATCACCCAGGCTGGAGTGCAGGGGCATGATCACACCTCACTGCAGTCTTGATCCTCCTACTTTAGCCTCCTAAGTAGCTGGGACCACAGGCATGCACCACCGTGCCCAGCTAACTTTTTAATTTTTGGTAGAGACGGAGGTCTTGCCATCTTGCCCAGGCTGGTCTCGAACTCCTGGACTCAAGGGATCCTCCCACCTTGGCCTCCCAAAGTGCTGGAATTACAGCTGTGAGCCAGCGTGCCCGGCCAGAATTGTCATGTCTTTGAACACTTCAGGAGGGAGCTAGATTTTGAAGACAGTAATGCTTAACTTCCCCAGGGAGGAGGGGGCTGAGGACCTGGACTCCTGAGTCTCTGAATGAGGCAGGTGTTTCTTGCATGAGTCAATCCTGTAATTGATTAACCATCAGGAGCCAGAGGGAGTGAAAGTTCAAACAGAAAGTAAAGGAAATGGGAATAGAAAGGGCTATCCAAACACAATATAGGTATGTACTAAAATCCAATTGCACCATAAAGATAAGATTATACTAACTCTATTCCCATTAAAATTAGAAACTAGGCCAGCCGAGGTGGCTCACGCCTGTAATCCCATCACTTTGGAAGGCCGAAGCAGGTGGATTACCTGAGGTCAGGAGTTCAAAACCAGCCTGACCAACATGGTGAAACCTCATCTCTACTAAAAATACAAACATTAGGCCAGGCACGGTGGCTCACGCCTGTAATTCCAGCACTTTGGGAGGCCGAGGCGGGCAGATCACGAGGTCAAGAGTTCGAGATCAGCCTGACCAACATGGTGAAACCCCGTCTCTACTAAACATACAAAAATTAGCCGGGCATGGTGGCACATGCCTGTAATCCCAGCTACTCAGGAGTTTGAGGCAGGAGAATCGCTTGAACCCAGGAGGCGGAGGTTGCAGTGAGCCAAGATCATGCCACTGCACTCCAGCCTGGGTGACAAAGCGAGACTCCGA